ATTTGTTCTTTTATTCATGCATTTTTTTTACCTGAAGGCTAACATATGTAGGGATGTCCCCCGCCAGGCAGCCCTGCTGTGGTCGTGGTCTGGCAGGTACCTGGTAGAGTGACCTGCAAGGCACGGGTGCAGGTTTCACACTGCTGGCAAAAACATCAGAAATCCAGAGAGACTGGCTCTTTGTTTATGAGTTTCGGAGTCTTAAATTACGAGGGAGATTTTGTTTGGTGCTCATCTTTAATCAAAGCGTTTCTTTGAAACTTTGCATGTTCTGTTTTCCTGATGGTACTGCGAAGGAATCGGTTCCTTCACAAAAAGGTTGGTCGCATCCTTTCTTCTTCCCTGTAGCAGGGGCTGTTTTCGTTTGTCAGTTTGGCTCTTTTTTGATGAACTTGATGGTGAAATGGGTTAATGTAAAGTAAAGGTGTAATACTAATGCTGAAATGTTTCCTCATCTCTCCCAAGTTATTTCTGTAAATTAGAAATTGCAAAAATATAGAAAGTGTGTAAGTGACAAGGACTGACTGACACCAACCCTTGAACAGAGCCTTAATAATTATTAGGACACTGTTAGAGTGACCTCTCCTTTGTCTCTAGTGAGAATTGTGAGGTTTTTCTGGGTCCTTTTTTACTGTCTGTGCAGGACATTCAACCAACTGTGTGTACACACAGCCCAGATAATGAGGTAGCTCACCCGTATACACAAAACCATTGGCATTTTCAAAGTTTTTTTGAAACTAGTCCTAAACTGAGACACTGAGTATGGTGGCCTGAGCCAGAGGTTTGGATCTACATTTAAACACCAAATTAGGAAAAAAGAAAGAGGCAAAATCCCCAAATCCAGCCAAAAGAAAAAAAAAAAAAAAAGATCAGAAATATAACAACAGACACCAATTCTGTTTTTACCTTCTGTCTCTATTTCCTGTTTCTTGTTTGTCTTCATTAGAGCTGGGCAAGCTCTCTATAGCTCACCTCAGACCAGAGGACTGTAGGATTTTATTGCAAACTCCATCACCAAGCGAGATCCTTTGGAAGATTTGCATCATCTGCATGGTCGATACATGAATTCTCCATAATGAAACACTAGATCCCTAAGGTTTTATCTCAGGAAACCCTGAAACCAGAGTGCAATCTGTGTGTCCCCATTGGAACTGCAGAGAATGCCTCTTTTTTCATATGGTCAAGCTGTGTCCTACTGCCCCTCTTCAAACTGGGGTTTGATGGCAATGCATCTTTCGTAGTGGGGTAGGGCTTGTGGAACAGGACATTGCTGTATGTCCTGGTTGTTTCATGAGGCCAAGTCCGATTCTCTCTTTCCTGCAGTACAAAAATGGAAATAATGTTTATTCTGGACTTCCTCGTGTTGATAGTCTAGATGTACTAACATCAGCACATCCAAGTGCTGGGCTTTCCCCACACGCCTTGGCAAACCAGGGAGAGCCACTTTTTGGTAGCTGAGCAAGGACCAAGAGATGGAGCTGCACACGCCTTGCAGGCGGTCCCAGCAGACATCCACGCAGAAGATGCAGCTGCAGCTGCTTTGCTGATTTTTGCCCAGCTCTGAGACCCTGGGCAGGGCTAATGCCACTCTGGATCACAGCATGACACTCGAGCTGTTCCCAGGGTTAAATGCTTGGCTACTGCACTTGGCTACTCCTCCTTTGACTTCTTCTTTGCAGGGAACCAAGATCGAAATCAGCAGGGCATGTGTGGGACAGTGTGCCCAGCTCCATGAGCCAGTGCCAGCTGCAGGACAGGAGCAGTCCTCTTCGGCTAATATGAAATTCGTCCTACCCTCTCTTTCTCGTCAGAAAATTTGTCTTAAATTTCTTTAAGACAAAGACCTAATTCTGCTCTTTCTGCCTGCAGTTTCAACTCTGCCTGCTGTGCGCTGCTCAGAATTGCCAACGAGAGGGCAAAGCTGGTGTTGCCATTTAAAAAGTAAAAAAAAAAAAAAAGTATCCCAGCATAATAAAGACTGGAACAAACCAACTGCAGCAGCGCGTTGTGAGGAGTGCCCAGGTCTGTTCGGAGCCGGATGCCAAGTCCCATCTCAGCAGGGTAGAGGGGGTTGGGATCAAGACCAGCTTTAGACAAACAAGCAACATCTCCACCATGAGCTCAGAGCTCAAGTGCTCTCCCCCAGCTGCCCTTTCTGGTTTGCTCCTGGAACAGCATTGGTTTCTGCCAGTCCTTGGGCACCAGACAGGGAGCGGCATTCCCAATGACATTACAGTTGAGCTAACCCTATTTTGGAGGGGAAAAGCCATATGGACATAAGCTCCATATGGAAAGTAGCCATGGCCTTGGGTGCTGAGTTGCAAAACATCCCTGGGAAGTCAACCCCAGCCATGACGCTTGCCCTCAGCGGGGACACGCTATAGGTGAGTGCAAATCCCATGTACCTTAACACAGAGCATGAATAAATAGGAACATGGGTCCCTTGGCTCTCTGCGTGTATCCGGGGTGCAGTTGACCTTCTAAATAAGCCAGTGGCTGTGAACTTATCAGCTGCTGCTCCTAAGTCCTTGGATTAAGCTCTGGTTTGCAATGCATCATTTAAGAGGTTGCAAATATTTTCCGTGTGTTGAAAGAAAATTATAAACAGATTGAGCCTGAGCACAGTAGATCCACTGGACTAAATTTGACAAAGAAAAGCTTTTGATTAAAGAATGAGGCTTAAGGGGGCATGGGGAGCGAGCTGGCAGGGAGGGAAATTTTGTAGTTTTAAAGAAAAAAATTGTTGTGGAAGTATACTCTCTGCAAACGTCGAAGGAGAGAGTCCTTGTGCGGGAAAGCACGTGATGTAAATCAGTATCTACAAAAGGAGTCCATCTCTTGAACATAACAGAAGTAACTGTATGAAACTGCAAAACAGCACGCACCACATTTTCATGGGGAAATGTGCTGTATTCAGTCACATTAATTACTGCGTGGGCTCAATTTGCAGTGCAGTCAATCCACAGGAAACAAAAGGGCTGCAGGGGAAATATAAAAAGACAGTCAGCTAATAGGAGCCAGATTCAATAAAACTGTATCTGCCTTCAGCGAGCGGCGAGGCAGGAGTGTGTCCGTTCTCCCTTGGCAAGGCACTCGATGGGTTGGGCAAAGGGGGTAGGGCTGAGAGGGGCTTGGAGCAACACGCTGTGTATGTATACATATGTATATATACATATAGGAGGAATGCAACCCCTATTGTGAGAAATTAGGAAGGAAAAGGTTTTAATTCAAGTTTCTCTGTGCGTTGCTCAGGGTGTCATCTCAGAGCAGGTGGTTGTGTGATGGCACTTCAGCCAGTGCAGCCTCTGTCTGCCGTACCTTGAGCTTCCCTGCTGCGCCCTGGGTCGCAGGCTCTCCAATTCGGTACAATACTGGGGAATTTTCCTTGCCCCAGCACGGCTGCTCCGGTTCCTCTCTGCTGGCAACAAGCAGCAAGCCCCAACACTGCTGGGTACGGCCAGGGGTCTCCTGGGTGGACTTCAGACCCTGGGTGAACTTCACCTTTACTGCAGAGTTTCAGTTTAATGCCAATATTTTAGCAAGCTGTTTGGTTTGTTTGCCTAGCACTTAATAAGGGGATTATCCGGTTTATTTTTTTTCTTCCCAGATTGCTTTTCGGTTTTGAAGTTGAATGTGTTCATTTTTCGCGGTAGCCTTCTCTGCCGTTCAGGCTCCAAACTTCCCTGGGAAGTGACTTCATGGCATTATTCAAGCAGATTATTGCTTGGAGTGGCTGTGGCTGAATTACCTAGTGTTCATAGAATGGCAAGCTCACAGTCCATATGTATTTAATGACTGTAATAATTTATTATTTTCCCTTTATTAGGTTTGTTTTTAAAGAGAGTTTTACTGTGCTATTTATGATATGCTAAGTGGTGCAACTTGCTGAAAAAACAAATCGCATACATTTTATTTTTTAATAGGTTTTGCTTGTTAAAATGGAAATCTTTTATTTACCCTTGTAGGGTAGTTTTTTGCTGACAGTTTTATTATTTCAATTACTCAGACATTTCTTTCCTCTTTTGTTTCCCTAGATATTCCTCCTGGGAGTTTTAATGTGTCCATTCTTTATTTAAGATCAGGTTCAGAACATGTTATTTCTAGCAGGGCAGAGGAAAAGCGTAATATAGCAGACATTAAATAGTGGGATGTCAAGGTTTTATTTTCTTTCCTCTTTGAGTTGTGGAATCCTTTCCCCATCTGTGTCATCCAGTGATTAATTGCGCTGATAATCTGCATACCCTCATCAATAACTGTCTGCTACCAGTGCCAGGCAAAGGCTGTGCTCTGCCTAAAGAGTTTGTGGCTGCTGATAAATGAACATACTAAAGCCAGGGGGGACCCCCGAGAGCATTTAAAATTGCCAGAGACCCAGAGTCCTTTAATGAACTAACACTCTATTGGTACTGGCAGTAATTACTATATGCATTTCACTCGCTGATGGGGAAAGGAGAATGGGACCATTCCTCCAAGGTGAAAGCCAAGCTTTGGTCGGTGGAGTGAAAAGTGAACCCCAAGGACTCATACTGGCAGGGAGCCTTACAGTCTCAGTGGGGCAGCACCAGCGGGAAGGGCACACCGAATTCACCTACATGAAGTTCACTAGGGTGGGACAACCTGGAAACTGGTGTCTGCTCCCCTGGCTTTTGCTGGGGAAGAGTTGTCTCTTCCCTCTGCAAGTTCTAGTGAGTCTTTGACCACTCTCTGGTGTGTGATGGATTTTTTTGTCCATCATAGCATGGTGGCTTATGGTTTAGTTCTGTTACTGCTTTTCTTTGCCCTTTGCTACTCTTCTGGTCTCTGAGGCAGAGACCCGTCCTTGGACTATGAAGAAATCAAAACCAAATACTGTCAGGACAGTGGGAGGGCTCCCAGAGCTCCAGGTGGACGTGTGCTTGGATTGTCCATGGCTAGTGCATGGCCTAGGCCATCCTTTAACAAGGTGGAAGGCACTTTACAAAGCATGTCCTCATGCCTCTGCATCCTGTCATGTTTTTCAGAGTGTCCGGGGGAGAACTTTTCGACCGCATCGTCGAGAAAGGGTTCTACACGGAGAAGGATGCCAGCACCCTGATCCGGCAGGTCCTGGATGCTGTCTATTACCTGCATCGAATGGGCATCGTGCACAGGGACCTCAAGGTACGACTATAGCGTGACTCGGTCTACCAGGCTGTGTTAACGAAGGTTGCTTAATTGTGTGAGTCTAACACATGTAAGTTCAGCCTCCCCTGGGACTTGCTCTTTTAGTAAGGTTTTACCATAAGAAGGGTGCTCTGAAGAGTCCATATCCTCCCATCGTAATTGCTTTTAATGAGGACTTTGCGATCAATGCTGTTACAACGACAGTTTTGCACATAACATGTGGGAGAAAAGTCATTCATTAAGACTCAAAAGGTTACATTAAGGCAGGAAACTCACCTCAGCTGGGATGAAAGTGTTTACTGCTGTAAAGTAGTCTAGGACCAGTGTTTTTGGAGACACTTTTCGCAGCAAAGATTCTTCTAAGGAACATCGTGTGCCAGTGTGATTTTGAGATGATTTTCCTTTCAGCTCTACTGTGTTATCACATGAAAAACTCTCAGCTTTTCTGTCAAAAAAGACCCCAAAACGTTATTTCTGTATTGTTTCCTCCCTATATCTTAAGCTGTTATTAAGATAAGCAGAAAGGCTTGGATTTCATAACACACAGCTAAACCTCACCATTGTTAGTATCTTAAATAATAAATTAGCAGAAGGCATTAGAAAGAGATACGAATGTCAAAAGAAAAGTGTGGGTTCAGTTCCTGAAGTAGTTAATTCTGCCAAAGTTTACTGCCAGAAATTAGGAATTCAGTGAATGAGATAACACCTCTTGCGTTTCAGCAGTATGCTCCAAACAGGAGCTGCCTTGGATGTTGACGCTGTGGCCTTGAATTGTCCCCATGTAAAGATAATAATAGAATTTGATGAAACAGGTCAAATTATGTAAAGGTTTAATGAACATTAGTAAAGTCAAGAGCCACAAAGAACTCCCTTTTTTATTTACTTCTTAAATACAAATTTTTTATTAAATGTATTTTTAAATCAATTGTATTTTTAATACGGTCTAATATTAAACTCCACTTTTGTGATTCTTGGCAAGTCCTCTTAACAAAAGTTATAGTGCCGGGAATATGACTTCACTGTTTTGCCGTAAGATGGATGAAAAATTGTAGTGATGAGAGATACTGTTTATTTGCTTTTTATCTCCTTCAAAATTAGTGCTGATGTGAAATGCTGCATGGAGTAAAATAATTATTGCAAGATGTGATGCAGTGGGGCCAAAACAGAGCCTCTTACCCCTGTAACCACCAGCACCACAGTTCTCCAAGGTGGAGCAGTGCCCAGGACAGGCAGACGTGGCCTCGTTTTGTGAAAACCTCAACACAGTCATTTCCTTCTGCCACTCTTTGACTCCAGATGTGAATCTTTTTGCTGCGCAGGGGCCGTTCCTGCAGGAACCTTACTGCTACAGGGGACTTGCCTCAGTCCTGGTCACCTCTGCCAGAAGTGGGAATCCTATGATCTTCACTTCAAAAGATAGAGTAGAATAATAGAAAGGAGAAATACATTTTTTTAAAGTATTGGTTTGGCACACTTTCAAGGCAAAACCTTGGAATATGCTGAGGGAAAATATACACTGATGTCTGCAAATAGTATTTCCTCCTCATCACTGTGCAATTTAGTCCTAACAATCCTAAATAATGATATTTTTTTTTGTAAGGAGGCACAGGTTAGTCTTCTGTCTCCCATGGTCTTTACATGCTGCCCTCCATTCTCATTCATTTCCTGAAGTACGTAAAAATATTCTCATATTTATTAGAGTTCTATTGCACTTTGGTATGGAAGCATTGTTTAGTATGTTAACATGACCAGCTTTCTCTCAAGTTCAATTTGTAGGAAATAACCAGGCTTCTTTCGGCAAGCAGAGGTTTTGGAGGGAGGTCTGAGTCCTCTTAATACAGATACTCCACTGTATGAGCTCTTAATAATCCTGCCGTTATAATTTAAAGGAAGGCTGTAGCTCTCACTTTAAAGCAGATTAATCTTATTTAAAAGTTCGTATAATAATATATGAGATCTGGTAATTGGGAAGTGGATTCATCTACAAATTACTTTCAGAGTTTATGTAAGGACATGCTGAATTTAGATCAAACCAACCTTCTCCAGTGGTATTTTGGGGCAAAGACTAACTCTTTTTCCGTTCTTTTTTTGTTTGTTTGTTTGCAAGTCTTTGTCAGTACTATATCAGTTGTTAAAATGACTCATAAAATCTGGTGTATGAAGAACACCTACTGTGAATTTCTGTTAGCACAAACATACCATGATGGCAAAAGTACAGATATAATAACACTTTTTTATGATCTCAAAATATCAAGATATGTGCAAGTTTTGAATTGTGATCCCCCAAATTGAAACTCTGGGAAAGAATCCACTCTACAAAAATACAACCCTCAAAACATATATAACAATTATTTATTGTAATTATGTGTCATTCAGATACCAAAATAGTACTTGCTGTAGTTGGCAAAAGCAGATCTGTGCTCCAAGTCTCTAATCTAAATAACGCAGCAGCAGATAACAAGAGATGGCAGCAGATGAAGTCCATGGAAGTCCAGGATGCACAAAAAGACTGAAAGGCTCAAGTAGCTCTGCTTCGTAGAGTTCTTTTAAAAAGGTTTTAAACAAGTTTAAGTTTTAAATGGGTGGGTTTCTTGGCCTTACTAAATATGAGTAAGTGAGGAGCCTGAGGTGAGTTTGCAGAAATCATTGAGAAATAATCGTCTTTCCCTTAGTACCAGCTCTACCAACCCCTCAGCAGACCAGAAGTGCACTAGTAAAAATCAGGAGCAACTCTAACCAAGGGCAGATCATGGCATGAAACTGACTCATGGTGTCACAGAAAACAGTGTCAGTTGAAGCACTAGACTTACAAGATATCACGAAAAAAAACATAAATGGTACGACTTCCTAATTATTTTTATGAACAGAATCGTTTCCCTTTTTGCCTCAGTCCCAGCTGGCTCACAGCTGTGGATGCAGCTTGTAGATTCTGTCATAACCATCATGTCCCATGCATAAAGCCATCACTACATGGCTTCATGCTGGAGCTGGGGAGCCAGAAAGTGCTTTAACCTCAACTTGAAGCTGAACGGGGCCCTTGGAGTAGGGTGGAGGCAACATCACCCTTCAGTGCTTCTTCATCCCCACTTTTCCCAGAGCAGGAGGTTATGACGATGGGGGAGGGAAGGCAGATGCTGGTGCTGCTGCAGTGCAATTGCTCCTCCTTACAAATCCAAGTTTGGATGTGTCCCAAAGAGTCTGACGATGTTGTGTGGCCCCAGCTGCTTCTCACCATTTCCTGGAGCGCATAGTGGGTTGATAGACAAAATGTGTTGCGTGCGGGTGGGCGTTTGTACCAGCTTCTGGGCAAAAGTCTGCACCAGGGTTACATTGAAACATTGGGTATCTCTCACTTCTATAGATGAAGACTCCCAAGGCACGCAGTTACCACCAGGCTGTCAGAGTGCCAGCAGACGCTGGACTTTTTTTACAAGCCCAGATATTAAGTAGTGGGAGAAGTGTGCTCTCACAGCACATAGTGAGAGCTTTGCTGTGTAGCAGTAGCACATTCAAAATACGTGGATGGAGGACTATGCTGTAGCAGATGGAGTTTGGTTGGGCTCTCCAACCCGCCTGATGTTGGTATAAAGTCACGGGGCTTTGTGGAGTGACTCTTGTTTTCTCTCAGCATAAACAAGTCACTATGCTTAGTGCTGTAGCATTTTTTCCTAATCAGCTCTAGCTAAAACATCCTTGCTGCAACTCTGGTAACTGTAAAGGCATTTCCTCTCTCATAACAGTTTATTTCCAGTGGAGAAGATACAAAAATTCTCTAATACCTACTGTTTTCCTTTTTCTTTTTTTAAGTGCTGTATAAAAACTTTTCATTACACTACCTGGATTTACTGTATTTACCTGCCTTCAAATGAATCCTTCTGTGTTGTCACTGTGAAGTGATAATATGTCAGACACATCTCACAAGTAAGGGACGAGCCTTAGTTCTTATTTGGGGTGCCAAAGGAGAGGTTCGTTATCCCAGGGAAGTTACTCAAAGCTCAAGGTGTCAGCTTCTTCATTAGTTGCCAGACAGGGGCCTGGAGAGGATCTCCATATAGGTTTTAAAAGCAACGCTTTAGGATTTAGGGGAACCAAATTATATTAGCGTATGATTTAACTAGGGATTGTATTACAAACTAAGGATCGTATTACATGCAAAGCATCAGCCAACAGACCTTGTTACTGGACTTGCGTATTCAAAACCCTTATTCTCCTTTCTAGCCTGAGAATCTGCTTTACTACAGCCAGGATGAAGAGTCAAAAATCATGATCAGCGACTTTGGACTGTCAAAGATGGAGGGTAAAGGAGATGTTATGTCCACAGCCTGCGGGACCCCTGGCTATGTTGGTAAGAGGTTTGATTATACTGTCTGTCCACTCTTCCCAGATGCAATACAGACACATACGGGAAAGGGAATAATACTTATTTTCCAGTGCTACTAAATGGAGCACATGATATTTATGGATGTTCGTTAGAACTAGAGATTTCAGAAGTTACTGGTGCTCTGTCTTGGGTGCTCTTCTACTTTGGGTCCACATCCTGCAATCCAGCTTAGGGACTGTGGGTTTCACTTTCATCATTTTAATCCTTTGCAAAATATGTCTTCTCAAAGACACTGCCTGGAGCTAAATTAGGAGCATGTGAAGAATATCCTCAAGTGCATTGATTCTGCAAGAACCTGTAAAACCAAGAAGCTTTACCTAATGTAACATGTTATTTTAATCATAAAGGATAGCATTTGCCAGATTCCCCTGATAGAGGACAGTAAAATGAAAGAGCTACATTTATTCAGACATGTTCCGTCATCCTCTGTTACAACCATGTTAAGTTACCGACTCCTAGATGTCAGTATAAGAAGCTCTTTAGATCCCCGAGCCTTCCTGGACAGTGTCAAATTGTTTCCTATCATTTATTCTTTTGTATTTTGTCCATTTAGTAGTGATTGTACCAGGCTACTGGTTAGCATTCTGTTTACCAGCATCCTTTTAAAAAAGTTAAAGTAACTGAATATGACAATTCTATGGCAGGCGATGACAGGGTCTGTTTGAGCAGACACTGTTTAAAAGGCTCGCTTCATGCATGAGACATCCAGCAAGCCCGCGCCTCCTACGATACCAAGCTAGTCAGCTGAGACAGCAAAATTAATCTCTGGGGTATCCATAAAATCCATGAAACTGAAATGACAGTGGCTTCCCCGGGGATAGATTTGTCTCACGTCTTTCCAGTAGGAAAGACCTGATGTTTTCCAGCAGTCAGACAGAGGTTCCTTTTGCTTTGCAGCTGCCACCTCACCTGTATTTTCATAGCTCTGATGATACCATGGTGATTAGGGGATTAGAACATCTCTCTTATGAGGAAAGACTGAGGGACTTGGGTCTCATTAGTCTAGAGAAAAGAAGATTGAGGCAGGACCTTATCAATGCTTACAAATACTTAAAGGGAGGGTGCCAGGGGGATGGGAGCAGTCTTTTTTCAGTGGTGCCCAGTGATAGGACAAGAGGTAATGGACGCAGACTTGAACATAGGAAGTTCCATCTTAACATAGAGGAGGAACTTCTTTACTTTGAGGGTAGTGGAGCACTGTCACAGGCTGCTCAGAGAGGGGGTGGAGTCTCCCACTCTGGAGACATTCAAAACCCACCTGGACGCCGTCCTGTGCAACCCGTTGTAGGTGAGCCTGCTCTGGTGGGGGCGTTGGACTAGATGATCTCCAGAGGTTCCTTCCAACGCTAACCATTCTGTGATTCTGTATGAGAACCCAAACAGATGATGTGGTTATGACACAGTGATCCAGATTTGTCCCAGAGTTGTCCCTTTTTTCCAGGCATTACCTTCACGCTGCACAGGCACACTCCATCCTGATAACATCAGGAAAAGAACAGATTTCTTTGGTTTCCCCATCATGAAGCCATCAGCTCATAATATTATTTTTTTTTATTTTAAGACGTATGAGTAAGGATGGACTCTGTGCAGCCTGAATTGCTCTCTTGTGTAATCACACCAGACTGGAAACCTTCTTCCAAAGCACTAGCAGGAATTGAGCTGAAATAGCAATTTTCATAATTTTTGCTGTCAGCTATTCTGTCCTTAATTAACATGTTTTATTTTGTTCTGAAATGGGCACTGACTAGAATAACTCTCAGGGAAGCTCAGATGATGTTTGCTGAAGCGCTGATGAAAATGAGGGAGTGCGACTATGCTGGGGCACCGAGTGATCTCATATGGCCTCTCAGCGTGCCATTTACATAAGAAAACTTGCTATTTTTGAGAGGAAGCTCTCGGAGCATGTGACATGAATTGTAGTGCTCTGAGAGATGTTTGAGAGCTCTCATTACTCATGGTCTGGGCACTGATAGCTACACAAGTGCCTCCAGGCCTGTTGTTACCTTGCTGAGCGCAGGATTTACTCATCATGGTTCAAGAGGTCATGGCCGCTTATTTCTGAAGTGCTGACAGGAGTTTTCCCTCTCTCTCACAAAGAAAACCTCTTTAAATATTTGTTCTATTTCTTTTTTTTTTTCTTTTGCATGGGAGACAGCTCCTCTTTAGTGCTGCATTTTCTTTTTTCAGTATAATTTGTTGCCCAGACAACATTTTCCAAGCACGGAAAAATTTTGTTACCAGTCACTGTGGTGATGCCCACAGATGGGCCTCCGTGAGTGTTACACCTGATGACATGGCTTCTGCATACGTGGTCTGCCATTTGTCCACATCCAAAAGATCTCATGCCTTCCAGCATCACTCCATTTTGCAGCACCTGCCTCAAATGCCCTCAAATAAATGTAAGAGTCCTTCCTCGTAGTGGCACCACATGAATACATGTCCTCATCTGGATTGGGGCAGTCACAGGCCACAGTGCTGGCCCATGAAGTGCCTTCTCTGCCAACCCTTTTTGTGGTTTTTTTTCAAGCTATTTTACCCAGTGTTTAAATAACACTCGGGAATCCATCGCCTACAGTGTAATTCATTGCACTTTTCTTTAAAAGATTTGTAGAACATCCCATTTTCAAAGATTTTATGAGGAATTAATTATTGTTGTCAGTTTAAGCACCTTCTTTTTAAATTCCTAGAAAAAAGTTAGACATGCATCACATGCCAAAGGCACCCAGGGGGCAGTTAAGAAGTCATTAAAATCTGCTACTATTTATACTTCCTTATCTCCGGAAATGGACCCAGTCGGATCCTGCTGTGCAAGGTGTTGAACAAACTTCTGACCTGGTAGCAGACCTGATCTTAACTCATATCTGCTTCCCTTTGCAAGTATTTGCGTGTGAGAGCACCCTGTCATTTCTATCTAATTTCACTGATTAGGATATACTTTCAACTCTGTGTGTTTCAGTTTTTAACTCAGCTTTTCTTAGTTTCAGCTCCAAGAAAGGTGGTACCCAAGACACTAAATTCCTGTTCATGTGTTCATTGAATAAGGGAGAGTGTAATTATAACTAAACTTTTAATAAATATCACTTTTCTTTCTGAAAATCAAAGTATTACTTATCAAATTAGAGTATATCTAAAGTGTGTGTAACCTGTAGTGCATTAGCCCCTTAGCTTTTAAGTCTCTGCCTTACAGATTAAATTACTGTCCATGGTTCAGAAATCTTATTCTTTCAGGAGTTTTGTCAGAGATTTTGATCCTAGGGTGAAAAGATGACAATTAGGATAATTTAATGCAATTAGACTTAGTTGAGGCACTTTTGTTAAGATGCAAATCTAAATGTTTACTTACTGAAGAGGCGGTCTGATAATACAACCTCTTCTAACAAAAAGGTTCTCCGTTTTCTTATCTGCTTAGGATTCTTATCTCTCTCTCTCCATTTCTTATGGAAGGAGTCTAGTTGCAACTAGATGCCCAGCTTCCAGATAGCACCTCAATTGGGTAAGATGAGGCAGCTTGTGTGGCTCATTGCATTGCAGATTAGGTGTGTGGACTGACTTGCATGGATCCCACCCCATCTTCTAGACTGGAGAAGAAGTGGCGTTTTCAAAACCCTGTGTGATCTCTGTGGTTATGGGCAAGATCTGTATAAGTCATTAGTGATCTGCCATGGGCTGCTCAGGTTGAGACTGTTTATAAGAACTTGATTTCGATGAAGAAGGTGTTCAAAACTGCCTGAAAATAAGTCAACCTTGAGGTGTGTCAAGTTGGGCACTCACCAGGAGGTGACTCCAGTCACTCGGCAAATTCTTCTAGAGAGATTTTGGCTGCTTGGAAGCTAGGTCTCACTGACTTACTTTCCGTGAGAGCTGGTCTCGCAAAAGCTTTGGTTGCTTCTGCAGGTGGGACTTAGACTCACAAGACGCTTATGAGCATTGAAAAGTTTGGAAAAAATGTTAGAAAGCCTGTCTCCAGCAATCTGATCTCCTTTTGCAGAAATGCTGAATTATGAACTGTGTTGTGGCTGGCTAATATCTTAATCCTACTGAGATTTAAAATTCTTGCTCTGAGTCCCAACCCAACTTCAAGTAAAATTTTCTTGTATTTCCCTGTCGTAGGGATTGGGCTGGACTCTGGATGTGTGGTTGGTCCCTGTACACCCCACCTCAGTCGCTGCTTTTATTCTCTGTAGTGCTTTTATGAAAGGTCATTTCACACCTTTCTGTTCTATCAGAAACCCAGTAGCAATTTCAGATCATGTCAAAGCCATGTGTTTCTCTTAGCCCTGCACAAAACCAAAGCATTTAAGTAAGCACAGATTTCCATGCTGAATTTTGACTTGTTCGGTATCCTTTGAGTCAAAAGTTTGAAAATATTCAGTAAGCCTTTAGAATATCCTTATTAGCAAAAAGCAACCCCAGGAGTTGTTTAGGCAGTAATATGAGTAATAAAGTAAAAATAAAGCATGGGAACTGCTCTCACCAGGGTTTACTCAGGCACAAGCTCATAACAGTACGATTGCTCAGCTCCACTGCCGTATCTTGAAGTGGGTTTGCTGGCTTGTGGGTGTAGCTGCATTGTGTTCCATGACAGCTCTTTAAATTTGACCCAGCAATGTGAAATAGGGACAACAGGAGCACAAGAAGCCAGCAGAGCTGCACCAAAACCCTGCAGTCCTTCAGAAACAGCACCAAACTGCAAAGTCTTGGCCAACCAGATCAAGATGAACACTGGAGGACTGTGTGAGAAGGAAAGAAGTTGTTTTCATCCTCGGAGTCAGTGGAAGAGGGACTCTGGTCTTGTGGTGAAGCTGCTTCATATTCCTCTTCGTCTGTTTGCGCTATGAGGAAGATGCTTTGTATAACAGCAGGGGAGCTCATGCTGCTGTTGCACCATCTTTGGCTTCAGGAGAGGGTCTGGGTTGACCCTTCGTGCATCCAACCATTTTCTCAATGGTGCAGGGTTGTTCCTCTCTGTCCATATTCTTGACGTGGTACCTTTGAGTACTAAGCGACGAGGCTGGCACCATCTCCCTTTGGTGCCCTTTACAAGCTCTGCCGGTTACTCACTTTCCCTCTCAGATTTCAAGTCCATCTTGTACCTGTGCAGCCCAGGTTTCCCCTTCTTTACTTGCAGGACCTGCCTACATGATGAAAACTGGCATGAAAATAGTTACCAGCTGAACTACTAGTCCTGGCTTGCACCAGGCCAATTTGCCTGGCCAGTTAAGCTATGTCCCTGCCCGGCATAAGCAGGTGCCTGGTTATTTTAGATCTTTTTATTCCTCCCACACTTATGGAAGCCTGCTGCTTTGTCACTCCTATGGGGATCTTCAAAACCACCACCCTCTGTTCAAATGCCTCGTTCCCTCTGGCATGCAGCTTGTGTGAAGCCATATAAACCGCAGAAAATAGCATTAGGCTGAGTTCTTGTGAGACAGCAAAATCTGCTGGGAGTAGCACCATCATGGGAGTGAAGGAGAATCGCTTTTAAGCATGAGGCTGGTATGAAGAACAGGCACCCTCATGACTTGTACAGTTTGTTCAACAGGCTTAAAGTATCAGAGCAATCCCCATCACTTGAGCTCTTTGCAAGAGCATGGATTGTTGGTTTTGGCATCCAGCAGCTGCATTTTTAGGGAGCTTATTAGCATAGCTGTGCACACTGGGAGTGGTGGCATAGGGCTCTGAAATGTTTCCAAAGGTTCCTGGTTTGCACCTTTTCTTAAAATCTCTGTTTGAAACAAGCTTTTTATTTTTTTTCTCTTATTAAAAACAAAACATAACTAAACAAATAAAACCCTAACTGTAAAACAGCAGACCATCTGGCCTGGAAGTGGAGTGCCCTGGGAAGCACACCTTCTCATACCTGCAGGTGGGATGAGGCCCTGGGACCACGTTTTACCTGCCATGTTTTGCCGGTAGCAATGCTGATTTGGCCTGGATGCAGAGGAATGGTCCAGGTTTGCTTCATTGACTTCCCCGTCTCTGGCTGACTGTTGTGTAGCATTTGAGCCCACAGTGATTCCCTGGGGAGGAGTGATACTGGAAGCCCATCTGGCATTTCCCCAGTGCCGCAAATGGGAGCTTTGACTTTCCTCTTCTTACTGCTGTTTTGTCTCCTCAGTCGTCTGTGTTGATCCTTTAATGCCATCAGGTCTTGGATTTTTCTCATTGCGTCTCCTGTTTTTGCCTCTTGGCGCTGATCTACTGTCATTTCTAAGAGCTCCTCTGACTTGTTTTTCAGCTCATTAAATAGATCCGTCTTTTCCATATATCAGAGACAGATGATGCTTAGCTATGTTCTCCTGTTCCTGTTGCATGTCTGCTCTTTGGAACAAAAATCAAAAGCAGCCATTTGGCCTTAAAATAATTATTTAAACCTCCTGCCTTTCTTCATTAAAGTTTACCAAAGGGGGAGGTAATAGTCTCACATTTGCTTTGGGCTTGATGCTGTGGTGCTCTTACCAGCTTCACATCCACCATCAGCAGCAGCTACTGTCTGTTATCAGTGCTCTTCACTCCTCTAAAACAGAGAGAAATGCCCCAGCACAGCTTTGATGTTTTAAGAGGGAGAATCTTTACAAAGTTCACATCCCCTCGTCTCAGATTTGTGTTCTGTTATGTTAATGTGGCATATCTGTATAATGTCAGGAGCTGACTCGGATCCATGGTGCTCAGGAGCCATTTGCATAATATTGTCTTTGGGGGATATAAGATGTATAATGTTTACCGGTCTTGAAAATGATGCAAACAGGAGCAGACAGTCAAAGGGAGAAGAGATATGTGAAGAAAATATTGGGAATTTGGAAGGACTGGAGAGTTGGAAGACATCTAATCACCTAAGGACAGGGGGAAATTAACTCCCTTCTCCCACGTATTTTGTCACAAAATTCAGTCACAAGGGCTGGAACAAAAAAAGGAAATGGAGTCACACAAACCCTATTTGATGCACATTTTGAAAAAAAGATTCTTTTTAGAGGAAAATTTGGAGGCAAAATTTGATGAATTGGGAAGGAAAGAGT